TATGAATTGTTTATATCCGTTAAGTGCAGTGTTTGTAGGTCACAGTAAAATCAAGAAAATAGAGTAGATTTCCGTCATTAAGGCTGCACCATTTTTGCCGGTGTTTAGGATATTACGCGCTGCGTAAATTTCCGTAAGTTTTCACAAGAAATCCACCCCAACCCAACCTCCGGTGATTAATGTGACGTGTTTCTTCTGGGCTCCATTGAAAGCAGTGTTCTGTGCAACGTCCTAAACCACTCTTTCTTCACAACGGCGGACACTTTCCCAGTCTTGAGGGGGAAACTTTTTTCCTATATAAACCGTGAAAACTGTATTCACACTTGCTTATAGAACCTAACTCAATTCAGAACTGTAATCTGACCAAATTTAGATCGTGCCTTGCTCTGTTGCTGGTACCAAAACTGCCAGATTCTGAAGTTATTTTCATGAAGTTAAATGTTCAATACTGTAATTTTTAACTGCAATAATTTGATTATTGTAGTAAAAATTAAAGTTAAAGATGTAAGGAATCTGATGTACTGTGATTGACTCATATTCATTATAAAACTCCTCACAATGTTCGCAGAACTCGGAGTTCGGTAGATTAGTTAAAAAGAAAATTGTAGCTGCGCGTACAAAACGGTATAATTAAATTCAAGTGTTTCACAACGATAAAACTCCTGGGTTATTGCGCCTTGTAGTCTGATAATTTCCACCAACGTTTCAGAGGTCATGCTGCCTCCGTCTTCAGACTCACCGCTGTGAAGACCTCAAATCCTACATAAAACTGATTACTAACAGTTTACTTTCATTACTGGCAAATCTAGATAGCTCAGTCGGTAAAGAGGCTGGCTTCGAGCCGGACGACCGGAGATGGTTTGCCTTCGTCACTACTCTCGCGTGCCCAACCGACCGCACAACGAGTAACTACTGGAGATTCTTCTTTCTGTGTGAAAGTAAAGTGGTCGAAACATAAAACTAGCGTCTCACTCCATTAAGTGCCGAGATTAAGAATGTGGGGAGCTATACCTTCAATTCCCCTATACGTTTTCATTGTATGTTCTTAAGCACAGATACAACAAATTCTTATTTGTTACAGTTACTATTTAATTAAACTTCACATTTCACAACATATGAACAACTAATTATACAAATATTTAAGATACACAGTAGTTAATGCAGTGGGAACAATTTGTACTTCCGAATGTAAAAGATTATGTTATTCCGTGACAATTAGACAAAGATTACGACGGTACGGCAACTGAAGGGAATCACGGGGAACTGTCGCTATATTTTTTAATCAACAAAAGAACCACTTTCGAACATAGTAGACAAATGAATTTCTTTCTATTTTTAAGTGGTATAAATTAGTATTGTAACATATATGACAGCGTTTCTCAGCTGCATAGGTTTGACGACTCGAGACGGTAGGATTCTGAATAATAAATTGGAAATTATATGGAAGGAAGCGATAGTAAACTCTTTTTAGTTAGGTAGCACTCGTCTTCAGAGACCGAGGGTGTCTGAGAAACCCAGGAAAGGACATCTGCCCTCTGGGCCCACAGACATAGCAGGGACCTTCTGAATGTACAACACTTCATGTTCGGGAGGTTTCGGGTCGAAATCTCGACATGGAGACGAACTATTTTAAATGAATGAGCTTTTTCTTCATTTTCATTACTTGTTTCATGCAAAGTCTTGGAGAGAAGGCCAAGCTTAAAACAGGTCAGAACGGCTTTCATCTAAATGCTTTCTAACTTCGACAATAAAAAATCACCCTGCTATTCGATAAGAACGTTGAATTTGAGGGATCATCGTTAAGGAATCAATCATTAGGCTACTAACTAAGTTACCGAAGTCCATTTCACATGACCTGACAGGTGGGTCAAAATTCTTGACTAACAGATGTCCCCAAGTAGCGTTGATTAAGGTAAGTGAAATTCTGGATTGTAAGAAATAATGCATCTTGAGGCGGTCAAAAAAATTCCATGTGGTGTGACGTAGCATGGCTTGTAGTAAGTGGCATTCCACCCTAAGGCGACTTTAAAGGAGACCTACTCACTCAGACGAAGTGACGTAGGGTCGATCTAACAGCGTGGTGCAGAGTCCTTCTTGTGACGCTCAGAAATACTTAAGTCCTTAAGAAATTTACTAAATTTAATGGAATCCGAAGGTTCAATACAGTTTTCAAATAGCTAGCCACTGGTATCTATCATGAGTTAGTTGAGTCCAGTCCACATCCTTTTACCATATTTCTTTAAAATACATTTTAATATTATTGTCCTACCTTCGTCTACACGTGCCCCGCCAATTTCTTCCTCATTTATTCGATCACTTTAATAATATTTTACGAAAGTCAAAACTGTGAAAGATCCGGGGTTGCTCAGTCAGTGTAGTGTCTTACTACTGACTGAACGACTGGGGTTCGATCCCCGTCGACAACAAACGATTCTTCCCCAGCCTCTGCATCCGGACTGGCTCTGGGACACACCTAGTGCCCTGTCCTATTGGGGATAAAATGCGGACGGTACGTTACGCTGACCACTCTCCCTCATCTAGTGTCTTTTTCAAAAACAAGTAGGAGTTTATGTGCTCCCCCCAGCGCCTTTTTGGTGTGTGTCGGGACAGCCTTACTTTACTTTGAAAATTATAAAGCCCCTCGTCACGCCTAAATGATGATCGTTGTTGCGCCGTGTAGCTGCACAACACAACCCAAAAGATCAACATTTTTATTTACGACTCACCGCAGTGAAAATCTAAAATCTTTCTCCACTTTCTTGCTAGTTTATTTTATTTAGGTACATAATATACGCCTCGATACTGAAAGATTTAACGTAGTTTTCTGCGGGAAATAAAAAAATTTCTGATGTGTTGTGTAAAAAGAAAGATGAGTGAGTCGTACGTAAAATGAAACATCCTATTCTAAATGAACACATTTAGATTTGATGCCTAATTGAGTGTAGAATCAGGTGAGGACAAACTGAGTCAGTCATGTTGAGCTCCCATTGATTGATGGGCATCTGATGGCACCCATCTTGCAGGAAGAGGCACACGTGAAGAACTCTTTAATAAATCTAAGACCGAACATATTACCATAGACGTAACGCCTTGTGCTTGGGTTTGGTAGCTACCAGGTTTGAGCCTTAGCCGTGATGTGGACTCTTCTGACTGAGATACATTTTTATTATTGTCTTCTCCAATCCCATCCTGGAAAATTCCTTCAAACAAACCATGACCTTCTCCTCCTGGTTCTTTATCTAATTACGACTCATGAAAATATTTGTATTTTGTTTTATGCTATATTAGCCACTATAGTTTAAATTAAAAAAAGTCCATCCATCCACCCATTCTCCTGTCCATGTATCTGATCAATCAGTCAATCGACCAACATACTTTCAGGCGCACACACGGCTGTAGTCGTTATTAACACGTGTCAGAATAATTCGGTGTTGGTGTGATGCAAGTATGTTCCGAAGGATTAGTTCTTTTAGGTTTTAATGTCACATTTGATAATGCTATAAAATATGTCTATGCGATAATAAAACTGATATGCAAATTAAAAAACTGTAATTTATTTTCCTACTGCCACTAACGTAATATCGTCTGATTATCGTTTGAGTTTAAACGCTTTCAGTTTCTCGTTTAACTTCTCTGTTAGAAGCTCACTGACGTTGGTAAATTTGTAATAGACTACATGGCGCAACAGCTCAGAAGACAGCCATCTTCTTGATGAATGCATAATTTAAGCATAAACCAATACACACAATGCAACACTGTTAGATGTTGGAAGGAAGTCAATACACTGTCGATTGTAGATCCTTGTTTTAGTTAAAAGGCCCTTTTGAACTGCAGTGATTATGAAGTATTGATCAGTATTTGACTGTGAGTAATGCGTTGTAATGCATTCGAAAAAGGCATAGTGATTATTTTATGAATGGACTACGTTTTTCTACAAACGCTGACTAGGGAAATAGTACAGGTTCGCTTATCGCGTCGTACATTAAAATTGCAGTGTGTTACTGGTCGGTGGATTGAACATTTGTTAAAAACTTAAGAGAGAAAATTTGGATGATTTTCGGCTATCGACACCTGTTCCAAGCTTGAGCACTACAAGTTCTGCGTATTTTAGTTACTTTACAGTCGTTTCATGACATATGGTTATCGTTCTGTGTTCTAACAATAAATAAAACGACGATTTATAAATCGCAAAGTTTCCACGTTCTTTCTGATTCCGAATTTGTCCCTAATTCGCTATTTCTCTATAAGTATCATGCATTCGTTTCACAAAGTGGATAAAATGAGTGCATAATTGTAAAGTCATTTTTTTAGATCAATCACATATTTATTTTCTAAACAAGTTCATGAGTTTCATTAAAGGTTGGTATTGACAGTCTACATTGAAATCTACCCGCTTAATTTCATTTTGGTTTGTAATGGCCCAATGTAACACATATTTTGCATTTAGTTCAAGACAAACTGATCTTATAAAAGAAACGAATCGTCTCATATAATTTTTAAGTTTTATAGAAATAAATTATAGTCCATGTTAATCTACACAATTTATGTTCTATCGTATTTCAACAGTAGTGTTATTAACATTGTATTGAATTATCTGTTAGTAATAGCTTATTTTCAAGGCGGATAGACATATTTGGAAAACATTTGTCACCCAAACTGAAGTCTACCCCTGCCCACAACTGTAAGACTACGCCCATTTCATATTTCGTTAAAGACATAAACATTGTTTAGTATTAATAATGCCATTTATGGACCTTAATCAGATCTGCACTGACTAATATGTGTCCTTTTTACAAGTCTTTTATTCTAATTTCATAAACTTCAATTTAAACCACATGTCAGGTGAGGGTTAATGCAGAGTGTATATGAAACGAAATGACGTTTTAATCTTCCTTTATCCCATTTTTATATGAAACCGTTAAATATCACTCCCAGCTCTGAAATTACTTTGTTAGCCATACTAATGATACATGGGAGAAAATTAAGGAATGCAGTGGCCGCTAGTTCTTGTCTGGTTCATACAAAGTGTAATGAAAATCCGCCAATTATTTGAACATGTGTTGGGGAAGGCACAGACGGACACATGGGTGCTTTGAAGCGAGGTTACTATAAAAGAACTAGTCTTTATTCATTTACATGGCTAATACCCAATACGAATAGTGTATCTTTCTGTTTCAGCTAACTGAAGTACATAATTGGTGAAATGGAGCCAGTGTGCACGTGCAATGAGAGAAGTCGAATAAACAGACGCACGATCCTCACCACAACAATCGAAGGCAACGATAGTCGACCGAACGGAAATGCGATTAGTAGTTTATTGAATTACCGCAGTGGCAGAAGTCGTAGCTGTTTCCTCATAAAAGAAACAAAACGACAGAAGCGACACTGTAGCAGCGACGGTGCAATTAAGAGTAAAGAAAACGATGATGGCGGTTTACTCCTGAACGAAAAGTTCGTACGGACAAGTGATGATGCTGTCACGGAGAAACGGAAGTGTTCGTCAAAGGTTTGCGAGACTGCATTAAGCGGAGTTGAAACTAGCAGTCGTTTACGCCAGCATGTTGTTACGACTGGAAGTTGTAACAACAGTGCAAGCAGCAGCAGTGGTGAGTTGTGGGACGAAGAGATTGTACTGCGTCACATTAAAGAATGCCGCTGCACGTGTAACCACATGGGATACGGAAATTACCTCGATTGGAGCGAGGTAAGTACATCAATGCGCTTACTTATTTGCATTTTGTAAGGAAGATTCAAATTTTTTATTAAAATAACTTTCTTACTTGTACCTATCTTGTTTGAAGAATGAAATTATTCGAGAAATTGTTGCTGATGTTGGAGTTATATTGTGGTATAACGGATTGTAGGTATTGGGCAATTCAAATTCAAGTTAATCCTTTGCAGCTTGTCTTTAATAGAGTGAAATCTACCCGAAAGTGAATCTAGCTTAAACGGAAACTTATCTTATAGGAAAATTTCATCTGATCTTGAGAATGTAGACTGTAAATACAGTAAAATTACCTCTAACAGGCAGAAAAAGCGAAATAAAAGAAGTGGAGTAAGTGAAGTATAACACTTACATTCTGTGCATGAATGTAATAATTTTGTTGTGTTGGATAAATACGTCACTCTTTAAATACCTGAAATCTCAGGAGATACATGCATATGGTATGGTAAGCATGCCTTAATAGCATCAGAGTCACTTTTCCCAGAGATGTGGATAAAGGTCGACATGTTGACGTCAATTCACGAGTGCAGTGATTGCAGCAAGAGATCCTAGAACTGCTACATAGGTTGTTTTTAGGCATGGTAGAAGTTGTCCTTTTGAGTTAGAATGACCGTTTATGTTACTTCATAATTTACTATGAACGTCTTGGTAGGAACCTTTCCTAAACTTTTTGAGGAAAGTGACCCAAAAATTGCTGACCAAGGGCAGAATATTAGCAGAAACAAACGAAAATCGAAACAGGTTTTGTCCACATCCACATGCTTTGTCATTCCGCTTGTAAAGTGGAGAGAAGACTTCCCTGCAAGCAGCAAAATCAAGGTGGTTAGTGCCCAGAGTTTGTGTACCAGACACGCAGATGTGATTTTTGTGCTACTAAAAGTTAATGTAGGCCACAATAAAAATGCTGGCTTATACACTGCGAAATTTCCTTTTACACACGAAAGAAATAACATTTTTATAGTTTCGCCATCTAAAAATAAAGTTTTTTTCACAGGACGTTGAATTCATGTTATAAATGTTAGTACTTTGTTTATGTTTGTTAGGTTTTGCTATGGTTACTTTTATTGAAGACCATGTAAATTTAAAAGTAAAGGTAGCTAACGAAACGAAATATTTATACTTAATAGCAAATTAATATAGACATGTTGTATAATATTTCAGTAGGATCGGAATATATATAACACAAGTAGGTACAGAAGTCATGTTGGGACATAAAGGTCAATTGTCAACAAATATTTCTTCAGCAAGAAAATATGCTTCCTTAACTATCTGTAAATAGATGTACCAATTCAATACATGAAATTTCTTACCCGTGTTTCACAGAAAAACGAAAATACAGGCCAGTAAGTAAAGTAATAAGAACACATTTACAGAAGAAATCATAAAAATATCTTTCTAAGGCCATACAATTTTATACCTAACCTTAACTTGTATTTGCTAAGTGAAGGAATGTTATTTATAGGGTTACATAGGAGAACAGCAAATTACAAACGCTGAGATATTTTGGACAGATGTTGGAATTACCCATAACAAAAGGATTAGTATGATACTGCAAACTACGAATGGAGCTCCAAGTTATTAGCTAAATTGAAGTCAAAGTTTAAATAGAATGAATAAAGATTCGGTCCATAAAAAATATGTAGATATGATCGCCAAGTAACCATTGATATAGGAGGGGCCAATTAGAATAAAAGAAACTTGAGAAGAAAGCTATGTCGTCAGGTAGCGTTGCCGACAATTTCAGTAGATTTCGGTTAATTGGGCCATCGGTTTATCGGAGCAGACGTTTATTTGGGACAGATCTTAAAGAACAAAGCTTTTTAACTGTTTACGTGTAACTTCGCATAATTGGGGTAGCAGCTTAATTGGGCCAAAGTATTCAAGTCTCGATGTGTCCCATTTAACCGGAATCCGCTTTATTGACTTCAGTGCTGTAGTCACTTCCGTCTCTGAGGCTTCACCTTACGTGGGGAGGCACTTGGTTTTATTGAAACGCAAACCTACGAAGGTTTCCATTTCTTTGTGCTGAAATATGTAGTAGGGGAGAAAAGAACGAGTTTGTATCCTTCGTTGTTACATTTCCTGATATTGGAATGATGAATAATGAAGTACAGCCTCAGAATTTTACAGTTTATGGGCCGCTCTCTTCTGTTCGTGATCAGACTCTTATCAGCATCACTTCACAGCAAGGTTCGTGCAGATTTCTTGATTGATTCAATCAGAAGCACATTCCAGGTCCAAAGACATTACCATCATACTGGGACCTGAGTATTAATTAATTGATTGTGTCAAGAGCACATCTTTCCAAGTCTATCGACACCTAAGGATCTAACGGATTGGTTTGATTCTTGCGATATGTAACGATTCCTTTTGAATAGTTGAAGTGTTTGAGTTTAATATGACGGAATGAAGTCATGAATGATCAGTAGATAGAGATTTTCGAAGAGGCTGATACGGCCCATATCATTATTAAATACTGGGTGAAGTGTACAAACCAGGTGAACCTTATTACTTGGTGAGATTTCATGTTCTCACGGCGGCAACTACGAAGATGTCTTCTAGGATGTTGTTTGGAAAAAGTTGACCGATGAATAAGAGGTGCTTACTGCCTCTATCAACAGGGCGCCCTGATGATGGACGCAGCAACTACCTCTGAAACGTAGCATCCCCGAAAAAAGTTATCTTGCTTAATAATTGATACTCTCCAATGCCAAATCCTTTAATTTTGCAAAGATATATTTTCCTCAGCAATTCGCGTTCAAACGCAATGACTTTTTTCTTTCCCAACGTAAGAACGGTAGTTCCGCGCCCATAAAAACAATAAGCAGTGTTATGGACATTTTGAAAAGCTGATTATTAAAATTAGACAGGAAGGCAAAATGTTTTGAGACGGAGGGAGTTTTCCAGAGTCTCACAAATTCGCAGCTGTGACTGAGAAACAAAATATCTGTAATTCGCCAGACAGAGACAATCTGTAACGGGAAGCTGAACAAACACAACACTCGCCCACGGACCGATATCGAATAAGTTAATAGACAAATTGTGCATTTTCTGATCAAACAGACATGATTAATGAATAAAGACGTTTAATATACTAATGAGGGTTTTATAAATTCAAAAGTCTGTATCATTTCGCTCGGAAGTACTATTTAACACACTCCGAGTTGGTAAAGCAGATTAGATTCATAAACGTTTTTTATTAGGTCATGGCCATTTCCTTCTACATCCCAGTTCATCATTCTCTCGTCGATTTTTATCCTCTGTTCTTCGCTGATGAGAAGTTGTCCCTGTGTCTGAATATCAGAGAATAAGGCGTATAAGTGATATGTAGATAAACATCCACACACTCTAGACCAATGGATGGTCTGCTTTACGCTCCGACCGATTTAGGCTACACGCGGGGAATTAATCACCTCGGTCAGTCGAACGGGATTTGTGTGGGCAACGTAACCTGTCTGTATACGTAGGAAAAGGTAGTAAGCACTCTGTCGGGAATCGAACACTAATCACTATCCTGCAGCTTGTTATGTTATGAGTTAGTGAGTTTATGCCCCAGAGATTTTCTCGTTAAATAAATTGAGTCTGTTCGACTGATTTGCCAAATATAAAAGATCGCTTCACTGACTTTAGCACGAAACTGTACCAATAGTATTTTTCTTCGTCCGTAGGTTTAATCCACTCATACCACTTTTAGCCGTCATAGTTTATTTTGTCAAGCGACCTCTGAAGCGGAAATCTTTAATGAAGAGATCCCGCTATACAACTAACAAGAGAATTTCCCTGATTCTGCTCTTAAATCGAATTTTAAACTACTGCGACTAAATAATAGACAATTTGCTGTGCGGGTTGAAGAACATTATTGGGTTAGTAAGCTTAAAAGATTTGTAATATCTTACATGAAATTGTATTTGACATCGAATGCTTGTTAGTTTAAACTTTGAACGGACCAGATGATTTTCAGACTTATTTAAAAATCAGTTATGCTCAAGGTTTTTTTCATACTGAAATGTTGGTCAGTAACTACCATTGAAAAAGTTAGTTTAATTTATTTAGATTTTAGATTGTCAAGGCGATAAGTATAAAGACGACTTTCCTCTGGCGTATTCCACAGTATGACGGATACAGCCAATTCTTCAGAAGGTTTCCACTTTTCATAATTACAGAAAGCCATCTGACATTTATTTCAGTAGGTATGTGCTCATCACCGCTTTAAGAAAAGTCATCTGTAGGTTTGTATTATGAGCCGCTTGAATTCAGTTCACAACCTCCTCCATTTATCAATTCGAAACTGTTTTCTGCTATAGCTTGACGAAACGTGTCAAATTTGGAGGTTATGGATGGTCAACAGCAGGACAGCAGGCGTGAAAACAGTCGACGATCGCCGTGTATTGTAATCCGGCATTGTCTCTTAATCCTTAGAGTAACAATGCTACAATTCCGCGAACCCCCTACCCAGTACACTGAGATTTTAGTGATCACATCGTGATTCATGGTACACAGCAGCACAGTAGCTGCAAATCCCGCAACAAAATTATGGAACGATAGAGTCGTTTTGTATGTCTCAGACTACTACTACCGTGCATCAGACGTTAACAGTAAAGTACAGTGTGTCCACAAAGTCCCTTCGGGGTTTTGAAAAATTGTGGGGCGCAAACAAATTGAGCTAGTCACATGCGGTTTGCGGCAGATTACAGTGAAACTCTGGAAGTTTTTTACTGACCTTAGTAGACCTCGATGTGGGCTCCCTTGGTAGCACAGAGAACGTCCAGACGATATTCGAGCTCTTACCATCTTCTGTGGAGCATGTCCGCTGGAATAACTGAGATGTACATTGCTTACAAATTGCCGCTTACTGGGAAGTCGTTTTCTACTGATAATCCCTCGCATTGAGATGCAATGTGCTTACGTTTATTCCTTATAGAATCTCTGAGAATGAAAGAAATTTACATTTACTCGTTTAGATGAAGGTATTATATTTT